TGCCTTGGCATGATGTTTCAATTGGAATGGTTGGGAAAGAATTAAATTATAAAAATTGATTTTTCTTTCAAATAAAAAAAATAAAAAGATATATCAAGTAAATAATTTATTTGAATAGACTGGAACTCCTGCCCGTGATGTAGCTCGTCATTTTGTTCAAAGATGGAATTTTATAAAGGATGAGAAAGCTTTTGAACGTAAAGATATCCCTTTCTTAACACCAAAAGGCGAGTTTGTTAGTACTCGTGATGAATCAAGATTCAAGGGTACTTGTAATGTTCAACTTTTGAGAAGCAGTTCTGTTTGGAGTAGCGGAATCAAAACAGAGGTTCTTTTTATTTATTTATTTTTTTAAGTGTGGGAAAAAATGTTAAGTTTTATTTTTACTGAATTTTTAATTTTAATTTTTTTTTAAAAAAAAATAAGAGTTCAATTTATAACACATATTGTCATTTAATTCGAACTTCCGAACACTTTATCTACATAGAAAACCAATTTTTCAGTAAGTTTATATATAAAAATATCGTTGCTCACTTTATAAATATTTTCTAATGAGCATTATGTTTTATTTTTAGTAACGTCTTCTAACAATGATCCAAATAATACAATAAAAAATAGAATTGGAGAAGTAATTTTACATTTTATTTAATGATTAGAAGAAAATTATTATTTTTATTATTATTAAAGAACCTATAATTATAAATTTTATAACTAAATATATAGTTTATTGTTGAAAGAATAATTAAAGCCAACAAAAATAATGAGAAATTCCGTGTAATAGTAGTGATGCCATTATTACCAGCATTTGAAGCAGCTTTGGATTCAAAAGATGCAGGAACAATTAGGTAATTTTATCAAAATTTTAAAATTAGTTGTAAACATATAATAATCATTAATCATCTATCCCCATCATTACTTATATATTGTTATTTATAAAAGAATGATAATGCATTGGCAATATTTTTCTATTTGTCGTGGTGGTAAATCACTTTTGGAAAAGTTAACTGAAGCTGGGGTTGATCATGAGAAATATATTTCATTTTTTGCTCTACGTGGTCATGATAAAATTCATAGAGATGATGATGAGTCAATTACACATTCTAAATCATCTTCAAAAAAAGGAAA